CATTCTTACTATATTGTGATTTAAAAATTATTACACATTAATTACTATAAGTGATAAATTTAATAAATGAAATAACAATAAAAATTAGTTTTTAAGAAATTTAATTTATAAATTGAAATTAATTCAACTAAAAATAAAAGGTAAATTAAATTTAATAAAATTAATTACATTTTTTTAAAATTAATAATTAGTATAAACGTACCTAATAATTTTAAATAAAATTTAATTTTATTAAATTTGTATAGTTCATGTTGAATTAATTTCTATACGTAAAATTATTCAGGGAAGAAAATATCATTTTGGATGCCAATTTAATTATTAACTCTACGCCGTTAAACACTAAATAATTCTACACAAATAAATATCTATAGTTTTCAGAAAATCTATGACATTAAATTCTTTACACTATTACATTTTTTCAATTTGAATTTCTCTTCAAATTAATTTTAGAAAATTAATCTCTACACACGAAAGTTTTACAAAAAAAATTCTACACAATATAATTGAATATACTTAATTTAACTTAATTCTTAATTTTTTATATATATTTACTTTACTAAATTTATGGGGTAGAATTAATTTCTTAATATTTTAATTTATTTTTTTTTTAATTTAATATTATTTATTTAAGAATGTTTGTGTAATTTGTAATTTTTTTTGTAATTTTTTATGTAATTTGTGTAATTTTTTTAAAATTTTAATTGTAATTTGTTTTTTGTAATTTTGTAATTTAATGTTAATAATTAAATTAAAGCATCCAAACTTATATTTCTTCTAATTTAGAATTTTACGGTGTGGAATATTGCGAAAAATTAAGCATATTTAATTAAATTAAATGTTTTCTAATAAGAATAAGTGTACTCTAGCTATTTTTGAATTAGTGACAATGTTTACTAATTTGAATCAGTGACTGACTTTTCGCTTTTTAATTTGTAAATTTTACTTTTTTAAATCAGGGTGGTTTCATAAGTATCAATTTTTCTGACAATTTACTGACTTTAAAATTGCTTTAATGTATTATTTTCAAAAAATTACAGAGAAATTCTTACAATTAATTTTGTAAAAATATATTAAAATAATTTTTTTACATTGTTTGAAGTTTTTTGATAATTCAATTATTTTGAAAATTTGCAATTAAAATTCTTTAAAAGTTGATTTTCAAAAATTGTAACAAAATACTTTAAAAAAATTAATTATTTTCAATAAAATTGTACAAAATTTCAATTATTATTTAAAAAGATTTTTCTTATAGATATATTTAAAAAATTTTAATTATCTTAAAAAATGATTCAAAAACAATTTTTGAAAGATTTGTTTATAGTTATTTTTCGCATTATAAAAATCAAAATAAATTGTACTTTTTTTTACTAAAAATTCTGATATTTTGTTGCAATGTTTGGAAGAAAAGTCGAAAAAGTTGCAATTTTTGGTAAGTTTAGAAAAGTCTCAATTTTCTTTGACAAAAAATTTTTTCCTGACATTTCCCTGACTTTACTGACATGTGGCCACCCTGTAAATCTAAAATCTTTGAAATAATTGTTTCATTTTTTCGGTTTTGTAAAAAAAAATATTTTTCGATGCTCAACATAGACGCTAACTTTAGACACTTTAGTAATTCAATTTGTAAAACTTTACTTTATTAGTAAAACTTTACTTTATTAGTAAAATGTACTAATTCAAAAGTAAAAAAGTCCGTCACTGATTTAAATTAGTAAATATTTTTACTACTTAATTCGTATTTACTTTGTTCTTGTTTAATTTTGTTTTTTCCTGATTTCCAAATAGAATTTTGACTTTTTCACATTTATTTGAGAATTTTTTCAATTCTAAACTTTTATTTGAAACATTAATAATTTACAAAAATTATAAATATAAAACCTTCTAAAACTCAATTATTTATAAAAATTGCAATTGCAACTAACTCTTCGAAAATTCAATCATTTTTCGGCTTTTTAAGTAAAATTATTCCCTGAAAAATTTATAAATAATAATATTATGAAAGTTTTTTAATTCAAGATTTAAATTATTTAAAATAAATTGCAATTATTGTCAAAAATGGAAAAAGTCCAAAGTTCTGTATGAAAATTATAGTAATGATTTCAAAATTTAGAAAGTGAATTATAAGAAAAATTCCTAAACGTATTAATATTAACAAAGATTAATTTGTGGACACCGGAAAAACCACAATTTTTTTCTCAATTTTGTAAATTTAATATTAATTTCTCCAGTACTTTTCATAAAATTCCCGAATTTTTTCCTAATTTATGCAATAGTAAGAGTTTATCACTCAGTATAAAAATACTGATGAATGTTGAGAATTAAGAATATTGTTGCAATATTTATTTGCTCTATATTTGAATTCCTTTTTTTTAGGAGAATTTGTTCCTATAAATATGTAAATATATCAAAATAAATAGCCTTAATTAAAATGTTATACGCTCAAATCCCTAAAATAAAATTTGTGTGTAAATACAAAATTTTATAAGCATAAAAACCACAAAAAACTTTGCATAAACAATGTGTACAAATGTCAAAACATTGTCATAACCTCTTTTTTAGTTCTATTCCTCGCGTTCGCGTTCCTTGCATTTTCCGAGTGATCACGAGTGCTTCCGATTATATACTTCGGCTTAGCCATTGCGTTTTACATATGTGTGCAAGCTCACCGATTTAGGCAATATATATAGCCAACCACCTAAGCTTGGGACTTTTGGCCGCGAGGGGGCAGACTTTCAAAGGAAAGAGCGATTTGCATTACGTGCGTACTCTCAGTTTCTCTCTGTTTATAATAAATTAATAAAAATAATTAAAAATTTAATTACAGTAAACAATTTATTTATTAATTGTTAACGTTGCAAATTAAATTACTAAAAACAACTTTAGTCCAGCGGGACCCGGGTTCGCTCCCCGTTACCCCCCAAGATTTTTTCGGTGAAATTGCATTATCGTTTTATGGTTTATATAGATTATAATTGTTTATACTAATAAAAAATATTTGTTTCAGTGTTATTGTTAATAATAGTGCATTAAAAAAGTGAAAGTTGTTTGAAAACAGTAAATATTTAGGATATTCGAATTTCGAATTTTTTTTAATTGAATTAAAAATCAAAAAGTAATGTAGAAAATTACATGTAATAATTTACTATTTACATTATTTTTATATAATAATTCAACTAATTAATTAAAAATTATAAAATATATAATTTTTTATTCTATTCCATTTATTATGTATATATTATTATAATGGATACAGAAATTTTCCAAAAATATTTTTTATTGACTTTCTTTGGTGCTAAATAGAAATTTTATATTAATTGCATGAAATAAATGTGTTAACTACAGTAAATCTCAATATTAAACAAATTTTCAGTATTTTAAAAGAATTAATTTGTCTAGTTTTTCTACAGAACCGTTGACCAGAATTTATAAAGTTGGGCTAGATAATAAGGGTCCATTCAAGTATTACGTAAGCATATTTTTCAGGTTTTTAGACCCCCCCCTCCCCCATGTAAGATTTTTTATATGCATTAGCGCCATTTTTTCTAATGGAAATAAGCAATAGCTAGACCCCCCCTCCCCCTTAAATGCTTACGTAATACTTGAATGGTCCCTAACTTGATGAAAAAAGCGTGACACTCCATTCCAGTTATTAGCCAGTTGGCTTGTAAAGTAACTAGACAATTTCAAGCGCGACTGGACAGTTCCTTTATAATAACTAGGACAAATTTCTACTAGGGGTATGTCCATTTTACAATAGAAATTGTTTAAAAAATTAATTTTTTTTACATAATGAGAAGCAGAATACTTTTTTATTAAATACTGATCAAAAATTTTTTTAAAAAAGTTAATTTGAATTATAGTTCCGGAGGCAAACTGTTTTCTTTGATTTTCTCGGATTGATGGTAATGTCGCTTATGTATCTTTTTCTTTTGGACGGCAGTGGTAACCCTGTATTAATTATAATAATTTTTTAATTACAACTTTCTGAACTTAAAATTGTCAAAAATTACTAATTAATGAAGAATTCATCATATATTTAAAAAGTAGATAATTAAAAAACATTTTTCTCCCGTCTCTTTTTGTACTAAAACATGACTTGAAGATAAAATTATAATTTTAACAATGATTTTTTTAGAGATTCAGTTGTAATATGCCAGCGGAGTTAAGCAAGCAAAAAAATGTATGTAGGTATATATTTCCGTATTTAGTTAGAGATAAAATATTTTATGGCAGAGAGAGAGAAAAAATGAATTAAAAAAATTCATTTCCTGGAGAATAAAAGCAGCGAACCAAAATATAGACTTAACGCACTCTAGTGCGTCATTTTTATTTATTGTGGAAAATAAAGCTAGTGGCGGTGTAAGGCGATATGACTACACAAATGTGCTCAAGCTCATGCATATTTATTTTTTGACTTGAAACACCCTAGCCAACTTTCCAAGATGACTTTCTGGTATGAGAAAATCAATAATCAACTTGTACTTAAAACCATATAATGAACTTGTTCATTTAACTCCAAATTATCTCAATTTAAATAAATTATCACATTTGGCACATTCAAATTTCTTCTTTAAATTCAATGTGGTCATTGAGAATAATTCTTTTTATAAATTTTAAAATATATACATATATGCTCAATTTTCTTCACTTCACTTTTTTAACTTTTTTATTTTTTCAACTGTTTTCGTACTTTTTTTTCATCTTTGGCAATTTTTCGAAATTAACATCATTCACACAAAATTTTAGTTCGAGTAAAGTTTATGAACGATTGAAACAAAAATTGATCATAAACGTTGTGAACTTTATCAATTTTTGTATGTCAATCAAAATCAATGGAAAATAGAGCTTGTCCCGTTAATATTAATTAAATTAAAATAATTATTGATAAATATAGGTTTCAAAATGGGTGAAAGACAAAAAACAATAAAATCAACAACAATTTAGTAACATGATGAATAAGACAATAAAAAATAGACAAATATTTAGTAAAAATGACTCACCACCCAAATCAGCAAAGAAAATTTCTCGCAGTGCCAGAAATTCCTCCTCCACAGGCATATTAACACTTCCGAAACAGTCGTTCTCGGGCCAAACATCTCTGTAACAAATAGCCAATAAATAAAAAAAAACTCGCGACAAATGTTTATTTATTTTCTTTGAAATCCACAAAAATGCTATAAAAATATTTCTCTATAATGTATGACAATCTTGAAAATTCTATAATTCTAAATTTGTTCAAAATCAGTGAAAATCTTCTATCGGAAAATATTTCACAAAAATCTATAAAAAGAAACAATTCAAAAATATTCTCTCATTAAATAAATTAAAGATTTTATTAATTAATTCTTAGTCGATAATAACCAATTACAAAAAATGTTTGTAATACATTGTTCTGAGTTTAAATATATTTATTAATAGTTATTAGTAATTTATATATTTTGAATATCTTTAATTGTAAAATTATTTGGAACGTAAATAGATTTTGTTTAAATAAATATTTAATCACTATTATAATATATAATATATAATCCTTTAAAATTCAATGATTTATAAGAATTGTTACCAGGGTAAACGTACAAATTGTCGAGGGTCTATCCATTTTTCGAGTCAACAAATTCTGTTTTTGACTTAAATATGGAATTACATTATAGGTAATATTTTTGGTTATTACCATGGTAACATTGACAAATGGAACAGCCAAATTGGTAAAAATAAGTTCCAAAAGAAAAGTTCCAATGTAAATTAAATAAAAGTGCCAAAAAGATTAAAATTGTTTAAAAATGCCTCCGAATGTTTATAATATAAGAATCTATCAATTTCCAAATAAACTGTTACATATAGAGAAAATGCTCCCAATTTTGTTTTAAGAAACAAAATTTACTTTCACATCATCTATATCCAATTTCCTGTGCAGTACATTCCAAGTAAACTTTTGGTCAAAACGAAATAGATTAGATATGTTTGAAAACGAAACGAAGAAGAGAGGATTAAATGAAGAAAAGAAGAAAAAACGAAAGAAAGCCGTTCAACTTTCGATTTATGAAAGCTTTTAGTCGCCATTTTCTTCGGTTGGATAACTGAGAATTCGAAATCGCAAACGGAACTGAAGAAACCTAGTGGAAAATCCGGATATGACTGGAGATGGGAGTCGAGAGTGAACCTCGGAGACTGAGGATTACATTTTGGTGCTTTTCATTTTCTTCGAAAAGAGTAGACGAGGGGAGAAGGGTATACATGTATAATAACTTGTGAGTATATAGTTAGAAGAGAAAGGGGAACAATGAAGAGGAGCCAGGGGATGAAAAAGGGGTGTAAGGGAGAAGGTGGAGAGGAAAAGGGTGATCCTAGAAGCAAACTCAATGAGTCTCAGAGGAGATCCCTCGAAGCATGAGTGCTTCGTTGCGACATACACCAACATCCGACCTTCCTCTTCTTTTTTTTGCAATTCCTTTTTTTATTTTTTTCTTCTTTTTCTTTAAAGTATAGTCACACCGAGTCTCGATTCTTTACCACTTTCTCAACAGCGCAATGTAACACCGTCGACGAAAGAGGCATCTCCAGAATTTCGAGTACAATTCAAGAGCACAGCTCTAGGATTTTTCAGCGATGATAAAAAAAAAGGAGAAAGTCAGTCTCTCTGGAAATCAGCAGAACAATAACGAAATCACTGCCAATGGACAAGGATTTACAATTTTACAAAATCAATCGAAAAATATTACTGCAATTCAACGAAAAATTTCCTTTTCAAAATTCAATTTTAATCGTTCTTATAAAGAAAACGGGTTTTTATACTTGACAAAGGAAAAAAAAGCGTTCGGCTAAGCCTGCCAGTTATTAAATAAGAAAAAAAATTTATTTGTGAGGATACTGAAGTCAAACAATATGCGAATATTTTCTAATACATAAAAAAATTGTTAACAAACAATTGAATTATTAAAAAAATAATAACTTGAAAGTAACACAAAAAACGATTATTTTCTGGAATTCGGCTTAGCCTGCTAGCTATTACATTCTGCGCAGACGTGAGAAATACATCGATATAAATAATAAGGTAGTTCAAGTTGGGTGGGGGAAATCCAATATGGCTGACATCAGCTGATTTACCGGAGGACAAACAATGCATTGAATTCAATGGGACAAATCAGTTTTTTAACCATAACTTTTTAAATATTCATTTTTGAACCATAGTGTAATGGAAAATTATTCTTTATTTATCGAAATCTATTTTTTAAAACAATAAAATTTAATTTTTTGGTTTTATTGTTTTAAAAAATAGATTTCGATAAATAAAGAATAATTTTCCATTACACTATGGTTCAAAAATAAATATTTAAAAAGTTATGGTTAAAAAACTGATTTGTCCCATTGAATTCAATGCATTGTTTGTCCTCCGGTAAATCAGCTGATGTCAGCCATATTGGATTTCCCCCACCCAACTTGAACTACCTTATCGAAATCTCGAGTCTGCGCAATAAATTCTACAATCTGTTTGCAGGTTATGTTAAAAATTCTATTTTTGCCCAAAAATCAAATTATTCAATGTTTCTCATTAATGTAATGGTTTTAAAAGTTGCTGTAAGTTTTTGAGTTTAATGTAAAATAAGAATATATGTGGAAAATATATTTTTCAGTTTAGAAAATTGTGTTTTTGTAATTTTTAAACACCTCGGTCTAGATGACGACCAGTGCCCCTACAATCTTAGCCTTAATGGCGCTAAATTTAAAAATGCACGTAAATTCCTTTAAATCGCATTTTGAATAAATAGAAGAAAACTTAAAGTGAAATAAAAACATAATAATAATTTGGTCAATTGCACAGGATATCTGATTATCCCATAAAAATAATTTGACAGAATTATTAATTAAATTATTAGCTTACGAAATTTGGTTGATGCGAATTATTATTTAAGACAAAAGATTCATTTTCAATTATAATTTATTCGAATTTTCTTTACTTTGAATCAGAATTTACATGAATTTGTTAGAATTCTTAAAGTACCGAATTATCTTTTGACCGAATTTGCAAATGGCCGAACCACCAACTGTTGGAAATATTTTTGCGTGGATTTTAAAATTGACGAATCACAATTTTCTTGATATTTTTTCATTAGTTAATTTTAAAATTCGCGCTGAAATATTTCTGCCATTCAGACTTCGCACTCATCGATAATTAATTTTAAAAAAGTAGCAAATAGTAGCGTTCAATCTAAAAATGTAGTAAAAAAGTAGCAATCGAAAAATTAAACTTGACGACCAAAAAAACTCGTTTTAGACACTTCACAAAACTCACAAAAATTCCATTCCATATTTTTATTTTCCTAACTTTTCCCTAATTTTCATAAAAAATATTTACTTCTTTCATATCCTGTTAAAAAATTAAATTCCTGCAACGAATTTTATTGTTCATGAAAGAATTTCAATATTTATAAAAATAATTTAATTCTTGCGAAGAATTTTATAAAAAATTTTAAATAGGGTCAATTGGGGTAAATGTAAACGGAATATCTATTCTTCACCAAAAACATTAGTTTTTTTTTGTTAAAAGGTAAAACGGACGGATTTTTTTTGCATGAACTTGTTACTAGAGTTCCCTAGAAAAATTTTATGAGGTTCCAAAAAATATTGATGCACCTGAATCGCCTAAAACTGACTGTTACATTTACCCCGAGATTTTGAAATTTTCCTAAAATTCGGGGTAAATGTAAACACCTCTGTAGTTAAGCGAGGTTTAAGAAACAAGTTATTTCAAGTATACTACTGTTTTAAGGGATGGAAAAACTGAAAAAAAATTCTTCGTAGATGTATAGTAAATCAACCAGTTGACTGATAATGTATCATATAAATAAACAATCAACCATTGCAAAACTAGTAATGTAAAAACTTGAATAACTTGAACAAATTTTAGTAGATTTTCATTCAACTTGGTAAAAAGAAGTTAATTTTTATTTTGTTGAATAAGAATCTAAAATCGAATTTTTAAATTTCAAAATGGTGGATCCAATATGGCGGATGAACCTAAAAATAATATTTTTAAAAATTGATCAAATTTGCTCGAATCTGGCTACTCGTTTTTAAAAATTAATCATATTTTCAAAAAAAAAAAAATTTTTTTTTTTTATCAAATTTTCAAAGAGGACCTAATTTCCTTTTCTATGTAATTTTACATTGCCAAATTAATGAAATTGTGAAATAGAAGCAAATTTATTCAATTATTTTCTTTTAAAATGTAGTTCAAGTTCTGTTTACATTTACCCCGAGTTTTCGAATTCTCGGGGTAAATGTAAACACTTAATTATTTATTAACTAAATTGACGAAAATCAAAAATCAAAGTCAATTTTTGTTAGGGCATCAATAAGGAAAAATAAAATATTTTTGTTTGATTTTTAAATTTATTTTTATGCAAATGCGAGACAAAATACTGAAACAGTAAAATTTTGATTTTCAATCTTTTTTGCATTAAAAGATAACTTACACTATGGCATTGCCAATTGTCAAAATAAAATATTGGAAATACTCAGAACATCTTGTAGGTGAGCTGAGGTAAAAATATTGACGTCGTACTTATTTTTTAATTTGTAAATTTAGAAAGAATTCAATTGCGAAAAGTTTTTAAAAATAATTAAGTTATACAAAGAATTCTATTGAAATTTTTGACAATAATTGAATGCCTGTGTGGTACATTATTAAATTCTTTTGAAAATAATTGAATTCCTAAAAAGCATTTTATTATTTATGAAAATAATTGAATTCTTGCTTAGAATTTTATCAAAATCTGAAAGAATAATTGGATTATTTCCAAAAAAAACTTAATTAAAATTGTATATAAAATAATTGATTTCTTTCGATCAATTTTATTAAAATATTTGAAAATAATTAAATTTCTTTGAAAAATTATAATATTATTCTAAATAATTAAATTTTTCCAAAAAATTAAAAAAAAACATTTTTTTAAATCATTAATTTTTTCGAAGAATTGAAATTAAATTTTTTGAAATAATTACATTTTTGAGCAATTCCTGTAAAATTGTATTAAAAATAATTAAAATCGTACGATGAATTTTATTATTTATGAAAGTAATTGAATTATTACGAAAAAT